AGACTTACTGAATTCCTTGTGCTCTACATGATAAGCTAATTAAAATCATTCAGGACAGGTTAGAAGCTAAAACATTGGAGTCTTGCCATGATTCATATACCAACCCCTATTTTCTGGTCACAAAGAAACAGAAAGGCAAATATTATTTAGTTAATACAGCACATATGTACAACAAAGTTACTATTCAAGATGCTTTTATTCCTCCTAATGTTGATGAATATGCTGAAGACTTCAGCAGACTTGTTATGGCTAGCCTATGCAACTTGTTCTCTGGATATGATAATTTTCCATTAGCTGAAGAGAGCAGAGATATGACAGTCATTGCAATCCCTATTGGGCTCTTTCACCATACAACTTTAGTCCAAGGGGCAATGAATTCACCAGCTCAAGCCCAATACAGGATAATGAAGATTATACAAGAAGTTTTTCCAGAGATTGCTTGAGCCTTTATGGATGATCTTGGAGTAAAGAGATTGCATGTCAAAAATGAAACTGAAGTTCTTCCAGAAATAAGAAGATTTGTTTATAACTATCTGCAGAACCTGAACTATGTTCTATGACTTGTCAAAATCTCTGGAGCTAGAATCTCCAGTGCCAAATCTCAATTCTGCATGTCTGGAGTCAATGTCATTGGATGGATCTGTAACTATAACAGATGACAACCTGAGAAAACTAAGGTGGCTAAAATTACAAATTGGCCTACTCCTACAAGCATTACAGAATTACAAGAATTTCTAGAGCTTGCTGGATATTTCCAAATACTTATAGAGTATTATAGTTGGATAACTGAACCTTTACATTATCTGCTTTAATGAAACATTATATGATTATGGACTGAAGAGCAAAATAATATCTTTATGCTTTTGAAGGAAAAGTTATGTTCATTCTCTATCATTCTTCCAATCAATTATGGACAAGATCCTTTGCTTATTACTGTGGCTGTTGATGCCAGTAGATTAAAATGGGGAGAATGCATTATTCAGGAGCAACAAGGGGCTCAACATCCCACACAATACAAATCTGGAGTATGGAATGATTCAGAGAAAACATATGATGCTGGCAAACAAGAATGCAGAGCTGTTTTGAAAGCCTTCAAGAAATTCTGACACTATATCTATGGAGTACTCTTTACCTTGGAAATTGATGCAAAAACTCTTGTTGCCCAACTTAATAGAACTGCTACAGATGTTCCAGGAGCTTTGATTACTAATTGGATAGCTTGAATACACCTTTTTAACTTTACTGTTAAACATGTTCCTGGGACAAAACACACAGCTGCTGACAGACTGTCTCACCAAGAACTAGATACTGGAGAACAACCTGAATCTGAAGAAGATGAAGATCTGTTTACCTTTATGGATTCTATAAGAGTTTTAGCTGGCTGAGCTCTCAATAGTAAAGACCTTAGAATACTGGACTTCACATATTCAGAAGAATCAGAGAAAATTGCACAATATCTAACCACCCTATCAAAACCATTGGGCATGGAAGGAAAGGAGTACACAAGATTCTGAAAGAAAGCAATTAAATATGTGGTGGAGGCCAATCAACTATTTAGACAAGCAGGATCTGGTGTGCCTCTAAGATGTGTCATGGATAACAAAGAACAACATGAACAAATTTTACACATGATACACAACAAATTTGGCCATAAAGAGTGAGAGGGAACATACTCTACCTTACAAGCTCAATACTGGTGGTCAGGAATGTATAAAGATGTGTCTGCTTATGTGAAGTACTGTTCTCAATATCAACAAAGAGATTTGCAAAGATTAAGTAAAGAGCTTCATTCTATCTGAACTTCTATCTGTTGGAAGAAAGTTGAGGTAGATATCAAACACATGCCTTTCTGTCAAGAACAAAATTATTTGGTTGTTGCAAGATGTAACTTCACTGGATGGGTGGAAGCTAGAGCATTGAAGAAGACAACAGCTGAAGCTGTGGCCAAATTTCTTTATAAGAATATCATCTGTTGATGGGGCCTGCCTGCCAAATTTGTTATGGATGGAGGACCAGAGAATAAGAATGTTATGAAGACCTTACTGAAGAAATTCAATATTAAATACATTGTTATTTCATTCTATAATTCTCCTGCAAATAGTATGGTGGAAGTTGGTCATAAGTCTTTGGCTGATGAATTAGCTAAAGCCACCAATGGTACTGAAAAAGATTGGATTAAACATCTTCCTGTAATTCTGATGGTGAATTGAATGATGACTAAGACTAGTACTGGTATCTCCTCTTATAGATTGCTAATAGGCCAGGAGACAGTTCTTCCAGTTAAACTTGAGATTCCTACTTGACAAACAATTCCATAATGAAATGTCCAAATGACTGAAGACCTTCTTCTGATGTATGCACATCAAATTAAATGATAAGATGAGGATGTTCTGGAAGCAGCATATCATCAGCTCTGAATGTGTGCTAAGAATAAGAAATACTTTAATGATACCCATAATATTTGAACCAATCCTCTTCAATCCAGAGACCTTGTCTTGCTTCACAATATTAAAGAAGAACAGAATATGTCTAGAAACAACACTCTGCACTTTCAATGACTAGAACCCTATAGAGTTAAGTCTGCCAATCAAGAACTAGGTTCCTATCATCTTGAAGAGTTAGACAGCACTGAAATCAAAGAATCTATTGCTGGAAGCAGATTAAAGAAGTATCTTATGAGATCTGGAATGGAGCAGCTCAGTGATAGTCCAGCAGATTCAGATAAAGAGATGGAGAATGTTTCTCAAAGATATGCCACAAGAAGCCAGCCTAATATTCTCTCTAGTAGTTCCTTGGATGTTAGCTCCTTGGATAGGGGGGATAACCAAGGTCAGAGTGAGAGCAAAAATGAAAATGATCAAGAAGAAATGAAGCAAACACAATTACCAACTGTTATACCAGATGACTGGAGCTTTGCTGTTGTTATACCTCCAGAAGATGTGTAATTTGTTGTGTTTTGTTTGCAAAAGTAAAGTTTTTGCTTGCTCTTTTGGAAGATTTCTTTTATTTGCCTGCAAAGTGAAGTTTTTGCTTGCTTATTTGGGAAGTTTCTCTTTCTTTGTTATTTGCAAAAGCCTTCACTTTTTCTGAATTTTTCAGAAGATATTTAAAGACTGATTTTTCTTTCCTGAAGTTTCTACTGTCTTTTACATTCAAGCTTGATTCTTTTTACAGATTTAACATTTTCAACACTTCTTCTTGTCTTCTATTTTGTTATTCTGACATTTGCAATTCTTTTTGAATCACTGATATTCTTCAAAATGGCTGGATGAAGTAACTTGCCTCCTCTAGCTCCTGCACCTGAAAACCAAGGCCTGGTTGTTACCAGAGACAGTGGAGTCAACCTGGATGGCCATTTCTTCAATAATCTAACAGCAGCTATGGAATATATTGATAACCAAGCTCTGCACTGTTGCTACAGCCTACAGATTGAGCTAATGAATGCACTGATGTGAGTAACTGATGTAGTTACTGACTTAGTGGCCCATTTCTATTAATATGTTGAAAGATTCAGAGCTTGGCAACATGTTACATACATCAATTTTGAAGCTGATTTCCATGATGCTCAAAAGGTTATCCTGGATGTTGAACAATATTACATTGATATGCAAAAGATCAAGAATAGACTTGTCACTACATGGAATATTGACAGGATTGATGTTATATGGTCAAAAGTAAAGAGCCTGTGGGCAGCACAAAAGCTTTGCTATACTTTAAATATCTACAAGAATTGGGATAAGTTTGTCAATAATATTAACAGCACAGTGCTCTGAAGACTAGATGCTACAGAAGCTGGACATCACCAGAGCTTAGCTATATTGCCAGGCAATTATACTACAGCTGATAAAAAAGTTGACTGTATATGTGAACTTCCTTCAAGAGATGTTCTACACCAACAGGGCCTTATCATTGGCAACTACAGTCTTCTACAGCTGTTAGCTCTTCTACAGTCATCTAGCTCCCAACATTCAATTCAGAATATCACTAGAAGTTCTTCTACTGCAAGCAGCTTCTGAGATCTACTGGAAGAACTGCAGTCTTCAAGATTGTCAAGAGATGTTCCAATGAGTGGAATGTCTATGCCATATAGCTGCAATGTGTTGGAAGCCTCTATATATAGCACAATGTCAATTAGATCACATGGATTTGAAACTGGTCAATTACAGCCACTATTTGGATTCACCAGCACACTGGCCAATCCACTCAGTCAATCAGAAGCTCTGAAGTGCTGCAGTGAAAGAATTGCAGTCATGTCAGCACACCAAACCCTTCAAGACTTAGATAATGATGACAAGTCCATTATTCCTCCTGAAAGTGATGAAGAGATATCTTGACATGAGCACAAAGAATCTGTCATGGCAGTATGCTCTGGTACTTGCTGTTGCTGTGGATTTGAACAGCAACTCCTACAAAAGATAAAGAGTATTAAAACACATTCAGAATTGGAGCTTATTTGCATTCTGGAGCAATTAGAAAAGGTATTTAGTGATAAGAAAGCTGATATCTATCTATACTATAACCATGCAAAACTAATAGCTTCAAAACTTGTGTTGCAGACTTGCACACTTAATAGGAAGGAGCTTCTCAACTATTTGACTCACATTCATAGAAATCATTACAATATTGGCTTAGTCAAGACTAATGATAGCACCTACCTCTGGTTCTGTTTGGCAAATAGACTAGCTAGAGCTGAAGATGCTTTAGGCATTTACAAATTCAAACATCAGTCAATTATCCCTCTGGTTGCAAACATGAGAATGTTTAACTTTAACTGATATGTGTGGATCACTGGAGTTAACAAGTTCACCACCAGCAATCTTCAGAAGAAATGGGAGACCACTGGGTCTGTTGTTATTCTCCAGCTAATGTGCTGGTGGAATAATAATAAGTTACAAGATGCCACCACCACAGTACTCACTTGGGTCAATAATGAATACAATATGTACTACCATCATCAGTAAATGATGGGAGGTTGTGACAATTATGAATGGTTGAGAACAATGTACCACAGTATTGGCCAACAACTCATGCACCAGGACCCTGTGTACTATCTATGGTACATGCTGACAAGATCTAACCATGCTTGGAAATTAATCTCCTATTTATATTACATCAAGTATGCTAAGCCAGGGGATAAAACTGGATTTCACCATATTAATGTCAATGTTCCAGATGCTATTACTACTGGAAGGGGCATTAACATAATACAAGGATTCTTGACCTTAACAGCAGAAGAGCCTGGTGACTGCACAGAAATCTTGCCAGAAATGCATAATTATCTAGAGAATTGGTGGGGACTAGTTAAAGAACAAGACTTATCTACCAATGGCTATGTTCACCACATTAAGAATACAATATATACCAAAGATGACAAAAGAAAATTTGGTATTAAGTGGACTGACATCATTTGCAAATCTGGCAATGTCCAAATTACAAGCCCTCTGCTGCCCCATGGAGCTCACAGTCCATGCAAAAAGATCTGGTGTACTATGCTACTCTGGTATGTGGCAATCCAGAAGGATCATGAACATCTTGAAGTCAATAAAGCTGGTATCTGGTTACAGCTCTCTGCTGCATATAGAGATCTAGTTTCAGAGCCATCATCACCTTCTGGCCATTTAAACTATTACACATCAGTTCCATATTAATTCCCTACTGCTATTCAATTGCAAGGCTTAGAAGCTATATTGGATATCTTGGTAGGCTGAATTAGATGGAACAACCCTATGATGATTGAGGAGCTTGATACCCTCTTTGGACCAGAAGAGAAGAAGGCTCAGAACTTCATTAATAACTGGTATCTAAAGGCCACACAAATTGCTTTGGATGCCATTATCAAGACATACTAAATTGAAAAGAAAGCTTTTGGTAACAAATTCTATTGGCATTGCATGCACAACAATATTGATTCAGTGTCAGTTCAGTCTTCTTCTCCTCCTGAGAACTTGGTGGAAGAAGAGAATCATAGTAATTACTATTAGGGATTGCTGCTGTCACTCTCTTTATTCTTATTTCCTATCTCTTTTCTTACCAGATTGTTACTAATTCTTAGCCTCTTATTTTCTTTACTAAATTGTCTTTGTTTTGTTTCATATGTTGTCTGTTGTCAGGAGATGCCAACATTGAAAGTCAGGAGGAAATGTAGTGGGGATTCCAGTACCATATTAGGACAAAGATTGTTCTGATCTGAGACACAAAACCCCTCTAGCTACTATCTCTGAGCTATATAAATCACCTATAGCCCCTGCATCTCACTCAATACCTTCATGCATCTTTGTACTTTTCTACACACTTATTCTTTATTGCTAGTTTGATTATTAGTTAGAGAATATAAAGATCTCTTGTTCATGAAGCTTGCTACTGTTTCTCATTAGAGCTGCCTGTGTTAGTACAGGCTCTTTAGTACTATTATTTCTTATGAGCTTAGGTGTCTGTTAAGGCATGCTTCTCTGTTCTTACTACTCAGCCATTACCATTCTTACTATGTTGTGATTTTTCATCCTTCTTGTGCTCTCACCATCTCAACCAACTCACCTACTTTGACAAGGCATCCCATCATACCCCACTTCAGTATAAAAATTACTAATAATGAGAAAGTTAAAGATCAGAAGGTTGAAAAGAATAGAGAAGTCAGAAGTATTAGCAGCAGTACCAGCATTAGTGACTACAGTAATAAGAAGAAATATAGTTCCAGTAATAGTGAATTCAAAAGTACACTAAGCTTAATTAAATTAATCAGCATGCTGGTGAATTAAATGAATCAATCAGAGAACAAGAATAATTTTACATCAAAAGTTCAGATTTTCTGTTCTCTGCTTTCTGATCTAGACAGCATTACAGCTCACTGCAAACATTATACATATGATATTAATTCCAGCTTAATTCAAAAACCTATTTCATAAAGTGCTTGATTAATTTACATATCTCTGAACAAAAATCACAATTTTGTTATGAAGAAATTACATCAAGTTGACATTTTCAATAGTGAATAGAATATCAGACTACCTTCTTCAGAGATCTGAAGAGTGTGCACTACTTATAAGCAGAAAGCTGATAAGATAAGATTATTAGTACCTGAAAAATCTGATAGAAGCAAGCCAGAAGACTTAAATAATTAGGTGGATGTTTATTTAAATAAGTATTATTCTGAGAAGAAACATATTACATTTAATTGCAAATTTGATAATCATATTAGATCTAGAATTACATCTTTTCCTGTTGGAGAACAGCTAACAAATAAGAGAATTGAGAAGCTTAAAATTAGATTTAAACTAATAAATCAGAAGAAGAAATTTTTCATATCAGTTCTTTATAAATATGAAGAGGCATTGGCATGATTATTTAAAGATCTATATAGTATTTATTCTGAATGCTTGCCTCCACAGATTATTAAGACAGAGTCTCATAAAGCTTGGCAGACTAAGACTTACCAAATTCCTCATGCTCTACATGATAAGCTAATTAAAATCATTCAGAACAGATTAGAAGCTAAAACATTGAAGTCTTGCTATAGTTCATATATTAACTTCTATTTTCTGGTTGCAAAGAAACAGAAAGGTGAATATTATTTAGTTAATACAGCACATATGTATAATAAAGTTATTATTCAAGATGCTTTTATTTCTTTTAATGTTAATAAATACACTGAAGACTTCAGCAGACTTGTTATGACTAGTCTATACAACTTGTTCTCTGAATACAATAATTTTTCATTAGTTAAAGAGAGCAGGAATATGACAGCCATTGCAATTTTTATTGAGCTCTTTCATCATACAACTTTAGTTCAAGAGGCAACAAATTTGCCAGCTCAAGCCTAATACAGAATAATGAAGATTATACAAGAAGTTTTTTCAGAGATTGCTCAAGTCTTTATGAATAATCTTGAAGTAAAAGAATCACATGTCAAAAATAAAACTGAAGTTCTTTCAGAAATAAGAAGATTTGTTTATAATCATCTGCAGAATCTGGACTATATTCTATAGCTTGTCAAAATCTCTGAAGCTAGAATCTCTGGCACCAAATCTCAATTCTGCATGTCTGAAGTCAATGTCATTGGATAGATCTGCAACTATGACAGATAACAACCTGAGGAAGCCAAGATGACTAAAATTGCAAATTAGTCTACTTCTACAAGTATTACAAAATTACAAGAATTTCTAGGGCTTGCTGGATATTTTCAAATACTTATAAAGTATTACAGTTGAATAACTAAATCTTTACATTATCTGCTTCAACAAAACATTATATGATTATAGACTGAAGAGCAAAATGACATCTTTATACTTTTGAAAGAAAAGTTATATTCATTCCCTATCATTCTTCCAATTAATTATGGACAAGATTCTTTGCTTATCACTGTAACTGTTAATGCCAGTAGATTTGAATAAGAAGAATGCATTATTCAGAAGCAACAAGAGACTTGACATTCTGCACAATACAAATTCAGAGTATAAAATAATTCAGAGAAAACATATGATGCTGGCAAACAAGAATGCAGAGCTGTTTTGAAAGTCTTCAAGAAATTTCAATATTATATCTATGGAGTACTCTTTATCTTGAAAATCACTGCAAAAACTCTTGTCACCTAACTTAATAGAACTGCTACAGATGTTCCAGAAGCTTTGATTACTAATTGAATAGCTTGAATACTGTAAGAATTCACCTGTGAACTTCTTACACAGACAAACAACACCTGCAAGGGCCCAGAGCCTCAGCTTGTGAGCTGTTGGAAGTACATGTGTTCTTGTGAGACACTAAGTTACATGCTTGCAAGCACACATAAAAGGCTGCCACTGCATGAACCTCTTGTTGGAAGCCAGTGGCAATCTTCTCTATAAGTCATACATAGCTGCCAATACCAGATCTCTTACCTCTCATACTCTTTTCTATGTACAATTTCTTCTATAGATTCATTGTTACACCAATTCACATGTATAATTCTCACATTTTGCCACTCTTCTTTGGTGACACCCAACAATGGTATCAACACAAAGAAGCCAACCCCCTGAAGCTCATAAATCTGGAACACCAGCAGAAAATCTACCTGAAGAACAAATCCAAGTTCACAAGAAGATGACAAATCTTGAAAAGAATGTCTTGCACACAAAGTCTACCAATTCAGTTGGAAGTGCTTGCAGAGGTATGAAAACTGATGACTCAAGACTGCAAACAGATAAGAGAAGTCAACTCCAGAGACCTGCTCAGAAGATGGGAAAAGATCTTATCAAGAATCATGAAGCTTTGAGAAAAGAAGAGAAGTGCTTTGAGTGTGGCCAAAAGAAGCACCTCACAAAAGACTGTCTCAAGAAGAAGAGTAGCAAATAAGAAATTGGGGAGCCACAAGTAGATAGAATCAAAATAATGAAGTTGTTCAAGAAAAGTCTTCTTGCTCTCCCTCCCATTGTTCTAGACATATGAAACCTAACTGACAGAAGTATCATCTGATCAGCACTAATAGAGTTAGGTTGTCAATCTCTAGTGATTAGTTTGTGATTGGCTGCAAAGCTAGCACTAGAGATGCACAAGATATCTATAGAGATTGAAACTGCTATAAATCATGAGAATATCACTCTTGCAGAAGGGATTGCAAATATATTCTTTAAAGCCTGTGACTCTCAGAAAAACTGGCAGTTGTTCCATAAACAAGTAGTGATTGTGAACATAAAAGATGAGATGCTAGTGAATTTAAGCTGGCTGCAGTAATACAATTCCAAGATGTGTTTCAGAGAACTAAGACTAGAGTTTCAAACTGTATATCACAACCTGCTCACAAAGATTAAACCAGTTAATCTCTTGGAGCTAGTGAAGGGAGGGAAGCCCATTTATATGATAACTCTCCACAAATCAGAACAGATGGTGACAGCAGACCTAGATCTTCAGATATCAGAAGCCTACCACAAACTCACAGAAGTGTTTAGTAACAAGAGAGCTTGAAAGCTGCCACCACACCACAAAGATAATTTAGCTATAGATCTTGAGCCAGAGAAGCAGCCAGAATTTAAAAGAATATACAGACTTTCACAAGCTGAACAAGAGACTCTTCACAAATATCTGAGCAGTGCTCTAACCCATGGGTTCATCCACTCTTTCAAGTCATCCACAGGAGCACCCATTCTGTTCACATTCAAGAAGAACAGCAGACTAAGAATGTGTGTGAACTATCACAACCTGAATTCAAAAATGATCAAGAATAGATATCTCCTACCACTAATTGAAGATGTGTTGTATAAGCTTGTGGGAGCTGTAATATTCACTCAGTTGGATGTCAAGTATGTCTATTATAGATTAAGAATTCACAAAGAGAATAAATAAAAGACTGCATTTTGAACTTTACAGAGACTATTTGAGTACTTGATAGTGTCTTTTGAACTTGTGAATGCACCAGCAGTCTTCTAATTGTATATTGTGAAGACACTTAGTGAATATCTAGATGTGTTTGCAGTAGCCTATCTTGATGATATGGTCATGTACTTGGCTTACAAGAAAGACCATGGAGAGCATGTGAAATTGATACTTAAAGCACTCAAGAATGCAGGCCTTTATTACAAGCTGGCAAAGTGCAAGTTCAATGCTTGCAAGATTGACTATCTTGAGTATGTCATAACACCAGAGAGTGTTCTTATGGAGAAGAGCCACATGAACATTATTCTTGACTGGCCAGAGCCAACTAGTAAGAAGAAGATTCAGATCTTCTTAGAATTCACAAACTTTTACAGGCACTTCATCTCAAGATTCTCTAAGATAGTCTGCAGCCTGACTGCTCTTCTAAAGAAAGAAGAAGCAAAGCTAAGCAGATGTACATAAAGAGAGATGAGAAGAGAGATCAACACTTTCATGACTGAGAAAGGTTGCAAAGTCTTTATAGATCTAAAAAGAGTATTCACAGAAGCTGTTATGCTTTACCATTTTAATATGAAATGGAAGACCAGACTGCAAACAGATGCATCTGGCTTCACAGTGTGTGGTATTCTATTACAGCTGGCAAAGAATGGCATTTGAGTTCCAGTTGAGTTTTATTTGTAGAAGATGCAATCTACAGAGATGAACTATGGCATCCATGATCAAGAACTGCTTGTGATTATGGAGTTATTTAGATATTAGTACTGCTGGTTGGAAGGCTTGCAAACACCAGTTCAAGTTCTTACAGATTATGATAGCTTGTGCTATTTTCAGACTGCTCAAGACCTCTTGCAAAGACAGGTCTGCTGGACACAAAGACTGACAGCCTTTTGATTTACAGTTGATCATGTGAAAGAAACCAAGAACCTGGCAGATAGACTCTCATAAAGATCTAATTATATCAAGAAAGCTGGTCTAGATAATACAGAGAGTCACAAGACTGTAAACCAACTGAAAGTGATGCTTGTGAAGAAGCAAGAGACCACAGAAAAGTTGAGACTAACAGTCAAGTTTCTCCCAACCAGAGAGAGAAGAGAGAAGATGAGAATATACAACTCATCTCTGTAAAGCTTCAGATTACAATCAAGAAACTACTTGTGAAGATTGTCTTGAAAGACATGTGCAAAGTGAAGAAGATTGCAATGCAGGTTCAGAAGGCCAAAGATCTGGTTTGTGAGAAGAATTCTTATAAGAAGGGCAGCTCCAATCTGTTGATATTATTGTCAAATCTACTGCAAAGTGACAACTATGCAGCTGAGGTCCATGAAGGTATTAAGGCAGGCATGAAGAAATTTGCAATATAAAAAGAGAAGAAGAGCATTCTCTATAGAGATGATCACATGTACATCTCTCAGAATAAGATCTTGCAAATAAAGCTGATCAGATTTTATCATGATCTATCTCTTGCAGAGCATTTTGCTACAGCAAGAATATATGAGCTTATAGCTCACAAATACTTTTGGCCAAGAATGAGAGAACTGGTGAAGAAGTGTTGTGAAGCCTGTAGAATCTGCCAGAGCTCAAGAAGAGTTTACAGAAAACTTCAAGAAGAACTATTACTCTTATCAATTCTGAATTGCTCTTGAAAATCTATTAGCATGAATGTTATTACAGATCTTTCTGCAAGCCTGAATTTTGAGAAGATGCAGTTTGACTGTATTCTGGTTGTAGTGAACCAGCTCATAAAGATGGCTTACTTTATTTCTACAACAAAGAAGCTGACATTAGAGGAATTGGCTCATCTCTTTATTCACAAGATAGTGAGATTACACAGATTACCTGCAAGTATAGTAACAGATCAAGAATCTCTGTTCACAAGTGAATTTTGGGGTAATTTGATTCATATCTTGAAGATTACAAGAGCAATGAGTACAGCATTCCACCTGCAAACTGATGGTCAAACTGAGAGACTGAATAGTGTACTAGAGCAGTACCTGTGAAGCTATGTCAGTTATGATCAAGATGACTAAGTGATGTGGTTGCCAATGGCAGAGTTCATATACAATAACTTACAGCAGGCCTTCACACAGAAATTATCTTTTCAGCTGATACATAAATTGAATCCACAAACAGATTTATTAGACTTTGATAAGTATAACTATATGTGCAAGAATTTAAAGAATCAGACAGAGGCAATAAGATTGCTTCACAAGAAGATCAAGAAATTACTCATAAAGGCACAAGCCTACCAGAAGAAGTACTATGACCAGAAGCACACTGTAAAGACTTTCCAGGTGAGAGACAAGATGTGACTTGACCTTCACAATATCAAGACCATACAGTCTAACAAAAAATTGGATTTGTTGAGACATGGGCCTTGTAGAATTGTGGAGAAGATAGGCTTGTGAGTCTACAGACTGAAGCTGTCTCCAGATCTGCAAACTTATAATATCTTCCATGTATTCCTGCTCTGCAAGCACAAGATCTACAAAGAAATTAATAGCTCATCTCATCACAAAGTTCACAAGACAGACAAGAATGAAAAGAAGTATCAGGTTCACAAGATAATTAACTTAAAAAGAGAGAGTCACAAGCTGTAGTACAGAGTATATTAGGAAGATTATAATGATAAGAAGAACAAGACATGGGTTTCTGCAAGCAATGTCCATTCACTGAAAAAGCTACTCCAACAATTCCATAGTAGAACAAGAGATCTTCATATTCTCTAACTAATAACCAAACTAGCAATAAAGAATAAGTGTGTAGAAAAGTACAAAGGTGCGCAAAGGTATTGAGTGAGATGCAGGGGCTATGGGTGGTTTATATAGCTCAGAGATAGTAGCTGGGGGGGTTTTGTGCCTCAGACCGGAACAACCTTTGTCCTAATATGGTACTAGAATCCCCACTACAATAGTTTTCTTTGAAACATCAGAGACCTTTCACAAGCCTGCCTTCCACACAAAGCAGTGCTTGAAGGGTTCACTTACCTGAGTAATGATGATATAAACTAGAGAAGAAAGAAAAGAAAAGAAGAGAAAGAGAAAGCAAGAGAAAGCTCTCTCTTAAGCTAGTATTCATTATCTAATAGTAACATGGAGCTAGTGAGAACAATAGAGACTCTCTATATATTGTTGTGTTATTGAGCTCTGTTGTATTGTTATATTATGTTGTATTATTAGAGTTGTGTTGATATTACATCTCTAGTAAGGCTGTACTCTTTTTCTTATGAGGAAATTTTTATTTTTCCCAAGAGGTTTTGTTTTTCTACTCATGAAGGTTTTTAATGAGACAGCTGTCTTGAGGGATCAAGACTTACAAGAAGAGAAAATCTGTAAGAATTCATCCACAAACTTCTTATACAGACAAACAACATTCACAAGAGTTCAGGATCTCAGCTTACAAGCTGTTGAGAGTACATGTATTCTCACAAGGCACTAAGTCACATGCTTGTAAGCACACATAAAAGACCACCACTGTACAAACCTCTTGTTGAAAGCCAGTGGCAATCTTGTCTACAAGTTATATATAGCTGCTAATACCAGATCTCTTACCTCATATACTCTTTTCTATGTACAATTTCTTCTATAGATTCATTGTCATGCTGATCCACATGTATAATCTTCACAAATACATCTCTTTAACTTTACTGTTAAATATGTTTCTGGAACAAAATATACAGCTGCTGACAGACTGTCTCATTAAGAACTAGATACTGGAAAATAACCTGAATCTGAAGAAGACAAAGATCTGTTTGCCTTTATAAATTCTATAAGAGTTTTAGCTGGCTGAGCTCTTAATAGTGAAGATCTTAGGATACTGGACTTCACATATTCAGAAAAATCAGAGAAAATTGCATGATATCTAACCATTCTATCAAAACTATTGAGCATGGAAGAAAAAAAGTACACAAGATTCTGAAAGAAAGCAATTAAATATATGATGAAGGCCAATCAACTATTTAGACAAGCAGAATCTGGTGTGCCTTT